AAATTATATACCGTATGTTTCCGAAAATAAGCTACCTCCGAATTTTGAAAAATCTCAGTCACTACATATAAAAATCATAATTTTAATAAGTAAACTGACTTGGGCTTCTAAGTAAAGTTGTTCAGAACATAAAGATACATATATTCTGAAAGTTTCACGCAATTTAAATAAGTATGTACGAAGATATTTTAATTTTTCTAAAATATTAATATTTCGAAAATAAGCTATCCGTAAAATTTTGGTGTAACTTTTTTTGCCAAAAAAAAGAATTCTCTTATTACTGAAGTTTTATTCAGATAAAAATTTATACACATATATACTGCGTAAATCACAGCAAGAAAAAACAAAATGTGAAAAATCCCGAAAACTTGGGTATTTTATAACGACAAATTCACTTTTTCAAAGAATTATTAAACTTGACTGATCAAGTTATTTGTACAATAAACTTTTCATTTGTATATTTTTAGAAATGCAAGTATTTGCAATAAATATTTTAACGTTAAATATTTTAGTATTATAATTTAAGTGAATAATTTGCAGGATATTTCTTGGCTTAGTAGAAATAATGTATTAACTAGAACTGTCAATAATACCACCTGCCGAAATAGTATAGGCTACATTTTTTGCAAAATACAAATAATAATAAAAAAAAAAAAAAAAAAATTCAATAAAATTTCAGGGACTTTTCGTCCAGAGCGCATCAAAGCTATAGCTGCGCGTTTCGGAATTGACCATGAAGCTGCCCTTGAGAATATTCTTTTTGCTCGCGCTTACACTTCTGAACATCAAATGGAGCTTATTATCGAGTTGGCTGCTCGGTTTGCTGAAGAAAAAGGAGTATATCGATTATTGGTATATATTAGTTTGTTATTATTATTTTTTTTTCAACTAATTGTTATTCAATTGTTAATATTTGTGACTTATAGGTAATCGATTCCATAATCGCTCTCTTTCGAACCGATTATGCTGGTCGTGGTGAACTTGCCGAACGGCAACAGAAGCTTAATATTATGCTCAGCCGCCTGACCAAGATTGCAGAAGAGTTTAACGTTGCTGTTTATATTACAAACCAGGCAAAAAATTATTCTGCAAATTCATTTATCTATCAAAGGTTCTTTTGACATATATATATCTTTTTTCAGATTCAAGCTGATCCTGGAAGTAATATGATGTTTGTAAGTGATCCTCGTAAGCCTATAGGTGGCCACGTTCTCGCACACGCGTAAGTTATCTTTTCAATAATTCTGTAATTTTATTGTGTTTTAGTATTTGATTAAAGAATGTTATTTAATTAATAGATCCACTGTTCGCCTTTACCTGCGCAAAGGTCGTGGTGACGAACGAATTGCCAAGGTTTATGAATTAAAAAAAACATATTTATATAATTTATATCTAGGTGGATACGAGGTAAACGAGAATTAATAATTACCC